TAGATTGGGGCAATCTTTGGACACCCGGATGCTTGGTACTTCAGTTCCTGGAAGCCTCAGCTGGGATAACAAATGGGAAGAGATCGGTAGTAAGTTCTTCTCCAGGTTCAACCTAACCAATTCTTTTTTTAAAAAAGCACTTCCTCATATGATTTGGTGAGAGCAAGCAAGGCGTAGTAGTTTACGTGTTGGGTTATGACTCTGGAGGCAAGGGTTCGATTGCCAGCTCAGCCATGGAAACTCACTGGGTGACCTTGGGCAACTCACATTTTCTCAGCCTCAGGGGAAGGTCATGGCAAACCCCCTTTGAACAAATCTAGCCAGGAAAACCCCAGGATAGGTTCACCTTAGGGTCATATATGTCAGAAATGACTTGAAGGCATACAACGACAGCAAGAAGGTTTTTTTTTTTTTAATGATCAGGAAGTGAACCAGACATTTATTTCTCATTGACCTCCTGTTTTGTTAAAAAGAAGGCATCTCTTAAAACAAAAAAAAAGCAGAAGGGAGTCCACAAATATTGCAATATTTCTGCCTAAGCTCATAGGGCATTTTGACCATATTGATAAAAGAAAAGGATAAACATTTAGGGGAGAAGGTATGCTGGGGATGTAGTTCTCCAAAATCCAATAAAGAGCTCTTGTGGCTCACCAGCCCTTGACAGTTGTCCACTTTTGCTATCATTAATTCCTTTCCCCAGTAACAAAGAAACAATGGGAACACATCATGACTGACACTTAAGATAAGTGAAACTTGTAGGAATATTTTGTATCCATATTAAGTAGGGCTAATGGAAGATGAGTTGAAACACAAGTAATTACTCTCTTGCAGGCCCCACTTTTCTCCTTTAATACATAACCATTAAAAATGATGTTGTTGTTGGCTGCCTCCAAGTTGACCTCGGGTGATATTGCTAAAGCTCAGCTGTAGCAAGATACAAATAGCAAGTTATAATCATAATTGGTTTCTTTGTCCAGTACTATAACTAAGTTACAGTGCAGTTGTAACTCAAATAGTTATAACTTCAGTCTTCTTGCAGACTAATAGTATCTTTTAAAACTTGCATAGTTTGAGGGTTATGGTCTTAATTAATGGAGCAGGAGGAATACGGATATTTCTGGGATTTATAATCTTACCTCATATACTCATCCCTCCACATTCACTGAGGTTAGGGGCAAAGGACCCCTGTGAATATGGAAAACCCGTAAATAACAAAAACACTATGTTTTTATCTGAGAGAACACCTCTCTAGGTCCTCCAGTGCAACTCTGTGGTCAACATCTGCCAGACATTTACCATAGAATTGCACTGGAGGAGCTACAAATGCCTAGTGGAGGGTTCTGTCTAGGAATCTCTGGATCCTTCAGTGCGATTTTTAGTTAAAGTTGACCATAGGGTTGTGCTGGAGAACCTAGATATTCCTAGAGAGAACACATTAATAAAATCCGTGAATAATAAAATCTGCAAAGGTCAAAGACGCAAATGTGGAGGGATGAGTGTACCTCAATTTTTTAAAGTGTAGCTAAGACACAACTACTTTAACTAGTTTTGAGAAATTAGAAAGTAGATAGTCCCTTTTTGAAGCAGTAGTTCCCAAACATTGGGCCTTCAGATTATTGGACTTCAACTTCCAGAACCCTCAGCCACCTTGACTAACAGTCATGAATTCTGGGAGCTGAGGTCCCAAACATCTGGATGACCAAATTTTGGGAATCACTGCTTTTAAAAAATGTAACTAAAACAGTAGCTACCTTATGGGGACAGTATGAAAATAATAACTGTAGCTGCAATTAATTATTTTCAAAGTAACTTTCTATGCTTGGAACGTTACCTGTTACCTTAGTTTCATCACCTTGGATAGTTCCAGAAAAGTTTGATCTGAAACCTATTGTGTACCCACACTACAAAATTAGAGTAGCTTGATATTAGTTTAACTCAATCCTACAGAGTTGAATTTATAGTTTGGTAAGGCCACAGAGCTCTCTGGCAGATCAGGATGAATACCTCACCAGACTACAAATCCCAGGATTCTGTAGGATAGAATCATGGCAGTTAAAGTGGTGTCAAACTGCTTTAATTTTGCAGTGTGAATACACCCCTAGACCAAATTATTGGAACCATGATTTGAAGATATTGTAGGTCCTGACACCATAAAACAAAGTTAGAATTTAGGAGATGCTATCTGTACCAAGTCTGATTGGCCTTATGTTTACTTGTTTCAAAAGCTGGTCAAAACTTCCTCATTGAATAGACTTGATTAGGTAAGAATGGTAACAGCATTAAGTTTTTGCAAGGAAACATGTGATCTAGAATTAATAAGCCACTTGAAGCAATGCAGATTTCTTCATTTATGTGCTTTTAGATTAGGTAAAGAAAATGTAGGACATATTTTAAAGAGAAAGAGAGGGGGAAAGGGGGGGGGAGTTTTATGCCTGCAGCCAGAGATCTGTATTTGCTTGCATGGTGAATTCCTTAATACAGATCACAGTGAGAAAAGCAAAAGATTTGACTTCTTGGGTTGAAAACAAAGCAGCTTTTTTAAAAAATGGGTCTCCACTGGAAAGAGCCCAGCTACCAACTCTATCCCTAATGGCAAGTTAACAATATAATGCAGAAGATCATATCATGGTTCCTCAGGAGTGCAGAAGAGAAAAGAACATAATTATTGAGCCCATAATGTCTTTGGGTGTCCCATCTTTCTAACAATTGTGTCTGAAAAACTTCCAGAAGTCAACCCTCTCTTTGAAAACATCTTCTGTTCAGATCATAGCAAAGATATATATATATTTGGACTTCAACTCCCAGAATCCCCAGTTAGCATATCCATGGTTCTACCTCTACTACAAGACTGGGAATAGTTGGTTCTTATTTTGTGCCTCCAAGTAGTTTCTGGCTTATGGTGACCCTAAAGGTGACCCTGTCATGAAGTTTTCTTTGCAAGATTTGTCCAGAAGTGATTGCCATTGCATTCCTCTGAGGCTGAGAGAGTATGCCTTGCCCAAGGTCACCCAGTGGATTTCTATGGCTGGACAGAGATTTGAACTCTGGTTTCCCAGAGTCCTAGCCCAGCACTCAAACCACTTCATTACAGCTCTCCAAATATTGCTGGGTTGAAACTCCCAGAATTCCTTACCCAATGGCTACCAAGAGCTGCTGGGAGCTGCAGTTCAACAACACTTGGAGGGCCACACAATTCCTACCCCTACTTTAGTGCAAAGATTGTTCTGCTCAAGTCTGATCTAAAAACAATGGCTAAGATCATGCATCAGAGGCTACAATACATAACTTTATAATGATGTAGTGCGCCTCTGACATGATACACAACCCTTTTAGTGATCTATGACAGTGAATATTGGGGTGTCTCACACAGTGTCCCACTGTGCAATGTGACCCATAGCACTGTGATGCCCATTGTGCAATGAGACCCACTGTGTAATGGGCACACAGCTGATTCTGTTCACACAATGGTCCCAATATGTAGCTAATATCTGTTCCTTTCCTGGGAATACAGATGTTATACATTGTCATAAATCTCCTTAATGTGCTTATAAGCCAATTTGTTGTTGTTGTTGTTGTTGTTGTTGTGTGCCTTCAAGTCATTTCCAACTTATGGAGATCCTAATGTGAATCTATCATGGAGTTTTCTTGGCAAGATTTGTTTGGGTGTGTGTGTGGAGCTGGCTTGCCTTTGCCTTCCTCTGAGGCTGAGAGACTATGACTTGTCCAAGGTCATGCAGTTAATGTTCATGACTAAGCAGGGATTTGAACCCTGGTCTTCAGAATCATACTCCAACACTCAAACTGCTACACCACACTGGCTTAAAATTTCAGTTTTTGTTATTGTTGTTGTTGTTTCCTGCCCTCAGGTCAACTTCGACCTCTGGCAAAACTGTGAATGGGGCATCTCTAAGATTCCCCGTCCTCAGTAGACCTTGTCAATTCCTGCAGACTTGGTGCTATGTCCTCTTTGATTGAGTCTAACCTTCTGGTGTAGTCTTCCTCTCTTTCTACTTCCCTCTATTTTTCCAAGCGTTATCGCCTTTCTAGTGAGTCATGTCAGTTGGCAAGCCAGCATGTT